TTGGCTATATACATGTTTGTTATTTCACATTCTGGACACATTCTAGACACTTTTTGTATATTTCATGATATTGTATGTAAGATATGGGCCATAAAGATGAAAGAACATTTTTGTATTAAAAATTGACCTTGACACTCTTGTTCTTAAGGGTGTCAAGGTCATATCAATACAGAATTCTGCTTTAAATTGTAAGTAAATATCAATTTTGAAATGCTTCAATCATGGATAAATCATCTAATAGTTGACGTAATAAAAATGGCGAACGACAAAATTTGCAAGCAAAGAATTCTGGTCTGCTTCTTACAAACCCCTAGCAAAACATGTATACAATCTTTTTGTTAGACAAAAAAAATCCATTCCCTTGATGCCATTAAAAATAATCTTTATTTTCATGGATTTAATCTAACAAGAAAAAATAAACTAAATGATTTCATTACAAGATTTTTCTGGTATAACAGAGCTTAAGGGGTACAATAAATACTTGACAAGTTATCTTGGAGGGAAATAATAATAATAGATAGCATTAGCAATATTTAATGCAAAACTGTATAGTCAATAAGTTGAAAATGTGACGTTTATATCCAAATATACAAATCCAGAAATATTGCAAGATGAATTCCAAATCAGACTGAAATCTGCAACAAAGTGTTGAAGAGCACTTTTACTTTGTGTCCACCATTCTTTTATCAACTGTTATTTCTCTGTAAGACTGGAGGAAATTCTTTGACTTGTCCAAGACATTGTAATATTTGCTGTCAAGAACAAGTGATCAGCTTCTATCCTGTAAAAGACTTAAAATATTTTGAAACAGATACATGTCATTGTGTATATGAATTTACATTTATAAATAAAATTAAGAATGCTAAAATTACTACATTTATTTGATTTTCCTTTTAAAATTAAAATTGTATTTATTATGTGATTCAAGTAGTTAAATGATATTGTTAAGTCAATGTATCAGGACTGATAATTCAACAACCTTGTAGTAAACCATCATGGTAAAATTACTGAACTAAAATAAATAGCATATTTGGCAATCTGACTAAAGCCAGACCTCTGTTTACGCTATCGCAACATATAAAAAAAATTTTGCAGTGGATGGAAGATCTAATTTTAATTAGATTGCTACGAAAGCCATGAAGGGACGCGTCAATTTTTCAAAAAAATAAAAAATGAGATCTCGATTTAGACAATCAAATCCCACGGATTACTAAATCATTCCCTCGATTTATAATTCGAGATCTCGATAACACAATCCGATCTTACGGATTACTAATTCGCCACCTTGATTCATAATTTGAGATCTCGAATTACAGACCGGTAATTTGTTTTCACAGATTAATAATTCGAGATCTCGATTTGTTACAACGTCAGTCTTATGATTTTGGCAATCTGTGCTCTTGAATTTCATTACATATATGTACAGATACATCCAACCATTTTAATCAATTAATATGTTCTATTTATTTTGTTTCAGCAACCGGTCGTTTCCAACCTCTTTCATAACTAATTCAACGTATATTTATTTTAGAAATATTATGATTACTATTTAGGACTTTCAATTATTCTAATATACACGTAACACAAAAACCTCTAAGATTTTTTGTTGTACAAATATCAGTACACTGTACTAGCATATGGATTTGAAAATGTTCATGTATTTTTCTCATTTTGGACCGTAATATGTAATAAAAGGTAGGATGTGAAATACTACAATATTCTATTCTTTAAACATGTATTACCATATCCGATATATACAGATAAATAATTCTAATGAAATCATGGGAAGGGTTTACATTCCGAGGGAACGAATCGTTTAAACTAAGAGAATGAATTATACAATCTGAGATAACGGATTGTGTAATTTGAGGAAACGAATTGATAATCTGTGAAAATGAATTGGCAATTTGTTATAACAGATTGTCAATCCGAGAGAACGGATTGTATAAATCAAGAACTCGGTTTACTTTTATAATTTTTTTTAAAAATTCTATGTCCTTTCATGGCTTTCATAGATTGCATACCTGCATGGCTGCCAGGGTTGTAAAAAGAAAGGAGACAATTGACTGCAAATGTTACTTCAGGGCAAAATTCCTGGGGCAAGGCTGTTTGTGAGCATGGGAGTGTTGATAAACCATCCAGTGAGTTTGACCACCCATGTATATGATGTACGATAATTGAAAAGTGTCTGAAAAATTGAGAAAATGGAAATACTAACCACATATTTTATCAGATTGGAAATACAATAGCAGTCTATAAAAACAGCTTGTTCCATATCTTGGCATTCATTCAAATAGTTATTATGTGTTTAAATAATGTGTTTGTTTGAATAATCAAGCATCATAAGTATTATGTGTTTCAAACACTTATTTTTCAAAATATAAATCAAATGTTTATAAACTTGTATGAATGCAATATCATGAGAATGACACAAATGAAATTTGACTTTATTTTTTGAAATTTTAGAACTACAGAAATTTTCAATACCAAAACAAAAATTTACCTGTTCATTGGTGTCCTTACATATTAATTGGCCTTCGTAGTTCATGGTGGGCCTAGCAAGTGGGTATTCACAGATGAAAGTATTGTTGCATATGGTGCCAGCACCCTAAAAATTCAATGTGAAAGTGGTACATGTACACACTGGTACACGCATACATGTACTGAAAACAACTATCCATTATTATGGCAACTTTGATTTTACTTTGAACTTACGAGTGATTGTCAATAGCATCAAAGTTCAAAAGTAACACAAAATTGGCTGAACAATACGAAATACGCACACTGAAACATGAAGATCTAGTACATGTGTACATTTAGTTTTCTTTTGAACGTGAACTAATGAGTTTTAAACTTAAACTATTCAGTCAATATACACGTTTTCTCACCTGCTAATACCAAAGGCATGTCCGTATTATTTGATTCATTGATGTGATGATCTTCGTCGTGAAATAATCATGAAATTTCGGATCACCATCATGTTGTTGTTTACTGCTACCACAGCGGAAACACGTGGTTATTTCAATTCGTATCAACTTATACAGTGATGAGTCGTATTTATTTATAAATGCGAGTTTTTGTATTGTTAAATTTCGTGCCAATATAGATCTAATTAAATTGCAAATTAAGTATTATACAGTATAACAAGATACAACAATATTAAAAATCTGATTTTTTTTTAGTAAAGATCGACGTTTAGGGAATCTACAATTTTTATCAACATTGTATATCACTACATGAAATATACATCATTACAAGTAGATGATTAACATTTCACTTCACAAAAGGCAGAACGATAGTACATATTTGTTTTTTGAAATCTATATTTTTTTATTGTGCATTTATTTCAGTAAAAATATATTTAAATGGTCAAAAAAGTCTTATAAAAGAATTTGTTGTTGGGGTCTGTAAGTCTCGTTAACTTTCACTTTCGTTTTCTAACTTCCGGGTACTTGGGCGTTCTTGGAGACAATGAATTACCGCTTGGCATTTAGTTTTAAGCCTCGCAGTGGACTAGCAGAGCCTGTCATGTCGTTTGTTTCCCGATTATTGAAAAGAAGAGGATATAATGGATTGATTGATACAGGTAAACAGCGTTTAACTGCTTTATTGTTTTAATAAACGACGTACATACAAGCTGATAATTCCGAATGGGTCACGATTAGCAGTGTGGTTGGCGAACATTTTAAAGCATAAAGGAAAATTAAAATATTTTTAAAGCTGGAATAATGTGTTTCCAAACAAAAACGTTCCCTAAAGATTGGTTTTTTAAATTTATTACATTTATTTAGCACACAGGACGGGTACATAGAATGGGGGGGGGGGGGACTTAACCAACAAAATAAAGGTAAACAGCAATTTTCAATGCTATATTATGTATATATTTGCAATAAAAAGGGGGGCTAAAGCCTATGTATTATACTTGTATTACAGTAGAAATAAATAGATTTACTTGTTATGTACTCTATCCAGAAATAAAAATGTCAAATATTACTTCTTTCATGTAAACAGGGATGTATACACTATATATTCAATATCAATATAACTTGTATAGCCTTATGACTCCCTTCCCGAATACTCTTACAATTATGAGACAGACTCTTTTTTCTTTCTTAAAATAGGAATTAGAAATAGGAATATTTTTAATGAAGGCATTTGTCACATAGATAAATCTAACGTTGTCTCCAAAAAGGCAATGACTGGGTCCATAGGACATTCATACTTCAACGATAGAACATTTTATCTACATTTGTCATCATATTTTATAGGGATCCAGCAGATATGGAAAAAGGGACAACACTTCGACTGAATGTGTCATCCATATACCGGTATAAATTTGTTCTGTTCATGAGGCATACATACTGTAAATGTATTACATTTGGTGTGTATAATATTTGGTGGAAATTCAATTTTCAACAAGTTATCATTCTATTAGATATCTGAATGTGCTAGTTATTAAATTCATATACAAGACATTTAGTGATGTACTTGGATAGGCGGACTATGTTTTCCACTAAATAAAATATATGGCTAAATGTAATATGTTTACATTATGTATAGTATTTCTCATAATTCTTATACTCATGAAGAGTGTGACAACTTCCAAGTAGTTAATGATGGAATTTATTTTCTTTTGTATTGAGTAAATTTTGGGCTGCTCTTTTTTCTTTCTTCATTATCAAACCTACTAGTTCATTTACTTATCAAATTCAGGAAAGCTCACATACAATGATAAATAAATTAAGTTGAATGAACCATAATACTAGTTAAGTTTGGCACATACTTTCTTATTAAATATCAAATTTGATTGGTAAAAACATTTGTTAACAATTACTTTTCTCCTTCGGTGTGCCTAGCATTACATCCCTATGATTCAAAATGCATGTCGATACACTTAGGTACATGTAACTTCTCCATAAAAATAGCTAACTGTGCAGAGTGTTCGCACACTTGTTTCAACGAATGACATTTTCTTAAAAATACTTCAGTGTAACAAGACAAATATTGCATGTTTATTTTGATACACTATACATGAACTTGAGAAAAAAATTAAGGAAGTTGACATTGTATATTTGCTAGTTACTTGTGTAATTAGTTATATATTTATATATATTTAGGATGTACACAGGCATAATATATCACTGTAAATATTTGAGAAAGTATTCATTTTTTGTGTAGATGCTCACTTCCACTTTAATACATTTGCCAGGTTCTTGTGAAAAGTGTTTTATTTGGCACCATTCAGCTACAAATACCCAATGTAATCTTTGCCGGTGGAATTGTGACCTCAATCAAGTGAATCAACTGCTCATGACACTGCTAAATGGCAGAGAATTTTCTTCTGAGACAAGCAAATTGTTTCAAACATTTTACACCTGCAGGTTAGTACTTATAAAATTTTGTTTGAAGGAAAATAAAGGCTAACAAGATCTGAAAATACAAGCCAGATGTAGTACAAAAGTGTTGATACAAGTCATTTAAAAATTTCATTTCTTTGCAGTTGGTGATGAGTGCGGCAGACGTTTTTATCAGGATCTCGTCCGACATCATAGGTACAACTGGTCACTGTGATTTCTTAAATAAGAGGACATATTGTGAAGGCGCCTAGGCGGTTACATATGTACACGTGGCTCCAAATGATACTTGACTGTTTTCCTTCACTTTATACGTAAACCTGGATTGGTCTTTGATGCAATAATATAGAGCCATGTCATGTTTTAAATCCCATCTTCCCACTGTCACAAAGTGCTGAAATGAAATGATTTTGATTTAAATATATATTTTTTGTTTTTATAAAATGTAACAAAACATTTTACAGAAATTAAAATATTGTACAAGTGGAAATTTTAGCGAGATCATGATGCAAATTTAATGATTTGTCCTTAAAATTTGGTATTTTCTATTTAGCGAGAAGTAATTGTAGCGATTTTTAAAAGATTACTAACTTTATAATATTTGTATATAATTTTCATTAACATAATTATTACACCTAAAACACATTTAATTTTCAGTGATATTCAATTTTAGCAATCTCAGAAACCTAGCTGATAATGCCTCGCTAAAAATTACGCTTACACGGTATTAAAACTACCAATTAAATAAGTATCTTAAATGAAAATCTTTTGAAGGATTTGCTTGTCAATTCTTTGCTGATAGGGTTACTTACCTTTAATAATGTCATGACAAGTGAGGCACATGGCTGGTCTTCACGCTGGATGAGTTCTTGATCAAATCAGTGATGTCCTAAGATTTCCAGATAAGCTGACAAAAACCTGTAATTTAGCAAACTTCTGTAAAATGTCATTCGAATTATTGCACAGTTGTTCCAGTATGCATTACTGATAATTTAGGTGTAATGAGTTATAAATCTGGTAAATATCCATTTATTGGATATTTAATACAAATCTTAACCTTCTTCATTAAATCTTATCAATATTTTTACAAGAAAAACAGACTGAAATTTTCCTTTTTATACCAAAAAATGTCAAAGGCCTTTTCATAAAAAAAAATTTATTTAAAAATATTTGTTTTACACACTGTATTTTCATATCTAGAGTGCCCCTACTAAGGCCAACAATAACAATATGATTTGTTTGATCATGACGTACTCAACCTTACCCATTAAAATCTGCCCTACCATTAGTAATCATTTTATTAGCACTTCAATTTTTTTTTTAAACTTCATCAAATTTCTTAGTCTGTGATTTTTAATATGAGGGTAATGCATTACTGGACATCCATGACCTTTTTGTAATATTTTGATATACTATGTCTTATGAAAATAAATTCTATATATATGTCCTAGAACTTATTCTGTTGCATCTGATCAATTTCATACCTGTATTTGATTTGCATTTTTAAGGAGGCTGATCATTCAAGTCAGTTTAGTGCTTGACTGGATCTTTCAGCAACAGCATCTTTCATCTTTGTTACTGCCTGGTTCTCTTGTACTTATGCTATAAAATAAGTTTTAATGTATATAATTGTATGAGATTGATAAATAAATAAAGAGGAGAAAATGCAGTGGACCAGACCGGGATTTGAACCCAGGCCCCATGAAACTCCGGTCAGGTGCTCTACCAACTGAGCTATCTGGCCACCGGCAATCGAACCCAGCTGACCGCCACATTCCTCCCTCCTTAAAGGTCTTTAGACCCCAACTCCGGCTCATCCCTGGCAGGTCTTTCACCTGTCAGTTCCAGGGCATGGCACAGCACCAAATGAAGTAGGAAAGGAGAAATGCACGATGAAAACTTGTGGCTGGAACGGGAATCGAACCCAGGACCCCTGTATCAGGTCCAGCACAATACCCCGATAAAGGTATATAGCTTGATAAAGCTATATAGCTTTATTAAGGTATTTAAAATACCTTGATCAAGGTATTTTATGTAATGAAAATTCAAAAAAATTCTTTAAAAATTAAATACTGAAAGTTGAGTTCTGAGTTTTTGTCTGTATGTCCACTCGTGCATGAAAAACACTCTGGTATCAAAAAGAAAGCATAAAAAACGTCTCCTCACATGACATGTTTTTATACTGATTTGTTTAACATGCATGGGTGAATTCACTGACAACAACTCAGAACTCGACTCTCAGTAATTAATTTTTTAAGAATTTTTTTGAATTTTCATGACATAAAATACCTTGATCAAGGTATTTTAAATACCTTGATAAAGCTATATAGCTTTATCAAGCTATATACCTTTATTGGGGTATTGTGCTGGACCTATGTATCACAAGTCAGGTGTCTAACCACTGAGCTATCCAGGCTGATATCCATGGTCCATAAAGCCCGAAATTCTACACATGTATGTTTATTGTATTGAAGTGATTTCAATTTTGTTAAATGTTGAATGCAGCGAAATACTTCAAATAGCAAAATATAATTATATGAACATCTTATCTTTGGGAAATAGATCTAAAATAGGTGATCCTATATGACACACAACAGGTAAAACTTTATTTAAAAAAATATATATGCAAAAGTGATGCATGCAGGCTCCACAATATGACGTTTGTACCCATCGGACACTGACAAAACTTTCACTATAATTAGCTGATAATAACAATATCGTCCTCGAATTCGAGAAAAATCTGTTAATAAATTTAGGCGAAAGATGATTATGAATCTATATCATTCGGGTATAAAGTAAAACACTTCATTTTCTCTCAAAATAAACAAGAAACAGTTGACATTCTTTGTTTACCTGTACTTCGATCTAATTTTTCCTGGTGGACACTCGCACCCAAGCTTTTATGACACGCAATTCATCCATCGTAAGTCGGAGAATCGTTCTGCTTTGTATAACTACTTAACTTTTCCTAAAAAGCTTTGTATAAACCAGAAACATGCTAAACTAATACACGGTTCCTCATGTCAGGTACCCGGAAGTGAAAATTATCGTAGAATCTCGCGAGTCACGTGACGAGACTTACAGACCCTCGACCTTGACGTTACATGTAAATATTGACCAATTTTTCCATAAAAACTATGCAAAGGTCACAAATTCAAATTATCGTAATTAAGAAAATACTGAGCGTAAGAAGGCCTGTAAGGGCTTGTTGGAAAGGAAATTTTCTCCACTTTTACCAGCTTTATTTTGTTTTCCCTATTTCAACACAGAAATAAACGTAAAACTGAGCTTTGTTTAAACATTACGAATAAAATCGAGAAAAAACACACAAGTGCAAGAAAATTCTTGTTTTTAAAATATACTCTTAAGTAATAACAATATTTTTTACATATTTTAAAAGCAGAGAAAATATGCTTTAAGAATATACCATACTTTCTTTATAAAGTTAATCAGGAAAAAAATGTCAATCGTCTGGAAAATCGGCAATTGCTTTGGAAAATTACGCCATTTTCAAAAAGTAACGTTTGTCTTCACAACGTAAAATCGATTAAATACCGGCAATCAAGACATAATCTTTTTAGATATTTTAAAAGTAGAGAAAATTTCCAAAAAGATGATATATAGTTTATATACCTTCATGCTACCATAAAATAGATACGGAGATCTTATTTTCGCGAAGTCGTGTTTTAACGCTCCACCGGTCAATTTGACTGGTATGGAAGTGAAGGGGTTAAACAAACTTAAATCTACACTAAATGAGAATGCTTAAAGATTGAAAAGATTTTCCCTCTGTATTTCTTTCTTTCATTTTATACCATAATGGCCACAAATTTACAGTATATGAGGATGCTTCCACATAAATTTCATCTTTCTTGGCCCAGTAGTTCTTCAGAAGATTTTTAAACATTTTTCCTATGTATTCCTATGTTAACCTTTGATACCCCATTGTGGCCCCATCCTACCACCCCCCACCCCCGGGGTCATGCCTTGAACAAACTTGAATATACACTGCCTGAGGATGCTTCCACATGAGGTTCAGCTTTCCTGGCCCAATGGTTCCTGAGAAGAAGATTTTCATAAGATGCCATTAATTTTTCATTAGTTCACAATTATCTCCCTTGGAGAACAAACTTGGAAAAAAAATGATGAAACTTGAACCCCCTTCACCTATGGATACTTTTATGCAAGTTTTGTTGAAATTGGCTTAGTGGTTCTTGATAAGAAAATGAAAATGTGAAAAGTTTACAACGACGACAACGCCTACGACGACAAGAACGGACTAGTTTTGATCAGAAAAGCTCATTTGAGCTTTCGGCTAATGTAAGCTAAGATGGCGTAGGCCTAATATTTATACGAGTCCTGAAACACGTATTAACACATATAAAATGATAAATAAATAATTTACTTATAATGATTTCAAATTAATTATTCATTTGAGGGCTTGAAATCATATTATTTGATTGACAGACTATCGCAATCTAGCTTATACTATATTTGAGGATGTTTTGTGCATTAATGAACTAGCATGTTAATTTTTTTTTAAATTAAATATTGTATATGCGAGTAGCATATACATAGCTGACCACTCTTAGAATTAGTGATATCTTTAAAGAAGCTAAATGCATACAATAATTGCGTTCCTTGGAACACTCTTGTTTAGGTCTAAAGCATACACAACGTCAAAAAGTTTGTTTTCGTTAATTTCGGTAATTTTTCCAATGCAAATCCTTTTTTTCTTCAAAATCGTTTCAGAGCGATTCCCATTGTGCAATTTTTTTGCTACATTGCAAGTGTATGGGTGGCATTCTAACTGTGGTTAGGGCATGTCCCGAGACATAGTTAAATTATTTTTACTAAGTGACAACCATAGCTTAAGCTTATTTTTTTTGCCCCGCCATGAATATGGCCGGGCCATATAGTGTTTGTCATGTCCGTCTTCCGTCCTTCCGTCATACTTTGCCTTTTAAACTGTTCAAATCTTAGTTTCAAAGAAATTATCCAAGATATTTTCATCAAACTTCATGTGCTGATAGATACTGATGAGAGCTATTCAATTTTTTTACCCTTACATTTCCTTTGCCCTTGACCTCACTTTTCTTAAATTAGTGTTTAGCTCAGTTTTAAACATACCATACAAGATGGTGTTATCAAACTTCACATGTTGATACATACTGATGAGAGCTATTCAATTGCATCACCATTTTTTACCTTTCCTTTGACCTTGACCTCACTTTTCTTTAATTAGTGTTTAGGTCAGTTTTTAAGATACCATTTAAGATAATTTTATCAAACATCATATACTGATGAGAGCTATTCAGATGCTTAAACATTTTTTACCTTGAGCTCTCTTTTGCCCTCTTTTTTCCTAAATCAGTGTCAAACTTCATATGCTGATACATATTGATGTAAGCAATTCAACTATGTTAACATTTTTGACCCTTGATCTTTCATTTGACCTTGATCTCACTTTTATCAAATTGTGTTTAAGTCAGTTTTATAGAAACCATTCATAATATTTTTTCAACTTCATATGCTGATACATACTGATGAAAGCATTTCAATTGCATCAATATTTTTTGACCTTGACCTCACTTTAATGAAATTAGTGTCAAACTTCATATGCCGATACATACTGATGTAAGCAATTCAACTGCATCACTATTCAAGATATTCTGATCAAATTTCATACACCAATATGAATTTTCATGTTACATTACTAATACACCATTGGCGGGGCATTCATGTCCTATGAACATATGTCTAGTTTTATTATAATTGTTTTTAATCATGTAAAATGAACTGTTCTGATCAAAGTATGCTTTGCATTCAAGCACGTCTTTCTTTGTAAGGCAGATCGACTATATCCCAAGACATTTCACTTATCATGAAATATTTACATCTACTAAATAGTTTCTCCTCTATTTCTTAAGAAAACCCATTGCCGTTAGTCAGTGCATGAACACCACTGGACATATCACCTGTACTGATTCCTTGATCAGTGGCTGTTCCATCAATGAAACGTACAAAGACGGACGTATCATTTAAAATATAATAATTAATCTTTTTAATCCTACTTTAAATGATTATTTAAACACATATAAATATGAACAATAAAATGTCTTTCTTTGGTTGTTAGTATGGTAATGAATGTCGCAGCTATTGCAGAAAAAAAAATTACATAATCCGCTATGTATTTTTTTTGCAACAGCTGCTACATTCATTCCCGTACTAACAACCAAAGAAAGCATTTTATTGTTTAAGTAGTTACCGAAATGTCCACATTTTGTGGGCACTTTTTTCATAAACAAGACATTATAAAATCGATATCCTAAAGAGAAAAGGGGATCCCGGTAGGGGACATTGCTTATAAAAAATCATTATAAAATCGATATCTAAAGACTTTGTTTGCAATTCTTTGTTTGCAATTGTAAACAAATTATTCTTAAAGCAAACTCAACTCTTTTTCTGTATCACTATAAAATAGAATATGCAGCATATGTACATACTTCCAACGATTGAAGAAGTGCATGTGTATGTAGTGATGTCAAATATGGTATTGGGTGGACAGCGTGTGACTTCTAAAGTTCGATTCTGGTAGCACCTTATATACCATCTTGTGTGAGCCCTAGATGGAAATATATTGTTGCCATCTGGCAGTCCTACACAGCTGGGCAGTCTCTCCGCACAAGGCACACAATTTTTGTCAGTAGCAGGGCAATTATTTTGTTCGTATTGACCTGTATCAAGTAGAAAAATAGATTATTTAATAGCAAAAATGACTTTAAAGTGATTAACTTTACAATCATTTAAAAAAGATTCTTACGGATTAGAAATATTTTGAACAAACAGCTAGGATAAGTCCCTATATATTTATTAAAAAATTAAATACGTCATTGTATACAATAAGCAAACAATATTCATTATATACCATAGCGACAAAACATGTACTCGACACATGAAAGCCCAGAGTGAGCGAACCCGCTTTTGCTTTATGTTTTCAAAGGTCTGCTAATTAAACTTTAGGGACCCTGAGTTTTATGGATGATAATCTTGTTCAAAAATGGCATGTAGTTCCGAACAGACTCTGAGTTCATATTAGAAATGTGTGTAGATCTTTGATGTTGTTTCCAAACTTTGTTTTTCCGGAATTTATATTTTCGCCCTCTGAATAAAACAAAAAAGACAATCCGCAAGTCTGCAAATGTCAAGTCTTCATGATTGTCAAATTTTGATTAGGAGAATTTATGCGAGGTATCAGAGCCATAATTATTTATTATTATTATTATTATACCTTCTTTTTCCATATGAAATAAATTGTATAGATTTTATTTCTTGTTTTTATTTTCACTCCCAATTATGTATAAATATTTTCATTTTAATTTATTATTTGTTGATTTAATTCTAACTTCTTGTTTGCATGTTCCATTTTTATTTAACATTTCCTGAATTTCCTTTATTTGACAATGCGATACGAATCATTTACTGCCTATATACGGCTTGCGCGGATCTAGAGGGGCTTCGGTTTTCAAAGTCTCAACTGAAAATCATTCAAATTGACTTTCAATGCCGAAGGAATTGTCATTGACAACACCCATTATTAACGCCTTGCGTTTGGCCAGGCAGTGGGAACTCAAGAAAATCCAACTCTGACCTTCCCATGCCTTACAAAGCTAACGCCTAACCGTTAGGCTACTGTGCTCAGTGCCCCGTTTATTGGGATCCAATATACATGTAGTTGCAATAGTTGCAATAATATCATATTTAGAAATACAACAACAACCATACAATAAATGCAGAAACAACAACAACCATACAACATGTTTTTTTTTTTCAAGCGGAAGAATTAAAGAATACATAAATATACACTTAACAAAACTTCTAAGTGTTCACTTGAATAAATGTATTTATTTAAAAACTACTGTATAGAATGATTTGAAATTTTCAAATTATTACAACAAATGAGTTTTCTCAACAATTTTAGAAAGAAAATCAAATATCACCGATGAAAACCAATCTTCCGTGACTAAGCTCAAAAACAATAAACCTGTACTTTGCGGCACATGTTTTGTGTAATTACCAGGTAGTAATTTTTTGTGATCATTATCAAATTTTAAAAACTGATTTCACTAAAAAACACAAAACATTGCCAAAATGACCATTGAGATAGAAAGGGGAGCCGTTGGAATGTTGATATCTGGACCATCCTCGCACCGCGTTTTACTCACTTTTATTTTAGTGTTCAATTGTTCTTGATATTACTTTTAAGAATTAACAAACAATATCAAAACCCATTTAAACACATTTTTCTAAAGGCTGTGCGTCATTTTCAAATTTTCAAATTAACCACAATTTGAAAGCTTTGGACAAAATTCAACCAAACCGGAAGTGACCTTGATCTTCGTCTGAGGCCAAATTTTTGCGTCACACCAAGTTAAAACAGTGTTAAATTGTGATACTATGACTATGAGAAACCTTTTGAACCCAACACAGACGCCTCTCTTACAGGATTAGGAACAGTCCTATATAAGGAACAAGAAGGCCAAAAGCGATATCTTACTAATGCGAGTAGAGGTCTAAGTAAGTCGGAGAAGAATTACTCTGTCCATAAGCTGTAATTTCTTACCTTGAAGTGAGTATTTATGACAACTTTAAAGAATACCTTTAATGGACAAACTTTCAGAGTCTACACAACAACAATCCTCTTATGTACGTTCTGTCAACAGCACATTTAGACGCCACAAGTCAGCGACGGGTTGCCAACTCAGCATCGATCATACATCTTTGATATCATCTAACGCTCTGGAAAGTCAAATAGAGATGCAGATGCTTTTAGCCGTTTACCTAGACGCACCAACAATTTGGAAACGTGCATCACCAGTGACTCTATACAGTCTATATGCAATGCTATTGATGTGTCTCCATAAGCTGAATGTTTCACCATCTCAAGTTATGCTGTGTAACGAACCATTATCTCAAGTAGACAAACATTTTGATGTTATGACTGCACAGAACAAGGATCCCATTTTGAGCTATTAGATTCCTTTCATTAGAAGCAACACAAAACCATTAAGAAATGAGATACCATTTGATTCAAACCATGTGACCATCTAAAGAAATTTTGAAAAACTTCGACTCATCAATGAGGCTATTTACAGAGAAGTTACTGCAGACAACGCCGAAATATCAACTACATGTACTTTTACCGTCAAAGTGCATACAGACAGTCATGAGGTCTCTGAGATGGGTCACCCTTGCCAAGAAAAAATTATATCATTGGTCCAGGACAGATTCTTTTGGCCCAGAATGACTACTTATATAGAAGAATGCATTCAAAAATGCAGTAGATGTGTCCTCAGAAAATCGTCAGATCATCAAAGAACCACCTTTTCTTAATATAACTACATTTCAACCAATGGAACTTGTATGTCTGGATTTCTTTACTTTGGAAACATCAAAAGGTGGATATGAAAATGTATTAGTTATCACTGACCATTTCACCAGATATGCCTACCAAACGAAAAACCAAACAGCCAAAACAACAGCTCAGATTCTTTTCAACAACTTTATTTTACTTTACGTTATTCCCAAGAAAATACACAGAGCAAGAAGCGAATTTTGAAAGTAATTTGATCAAAGAACTTTGTGATCTCATTGGAATTTCCAAGTCAAGCACACCTCCTTACATGTACCAGTCTATGGGAAATTGGCTATGCGAGAAGTTCAATCGCACTCTCCAACAGAGATTGCAAATCCTTCATATTGGACACAAAACATCAATCATATACATGTTCTTCAGCACAATATGGAAGAGAGCTTAGGTTGCCAATAGATTTGGTATTCAGAACCAACCCTGACGAAAACCATCAAAGTATGCCCCAGTACATCAAGAAGTTGAGAGATAAACTACATACGTATTATAAACTGGCTCAGCAGTTTTTGAAAGATCCCAAGGAAAAAAGAGAACATATTATGATAAGAAAATTCGAGGGGCTGTGCTTTCCAAAGTAAACAGAACGATATTGAAGATAGTAGCGTACGATGGCAGACATAAAAAGATAGCTGATAAATGGGAAAGCGACCCATACAAAGTATTATCTCAACCAAATCCAGACATACCAGTTAACAGGAAGATGGTACAGGAAAAATATGAACATTTCACAGAAATCCTCTGTTACCAATATCTTTCATTCCAAAAAGAGAGTCAACCTTGCACCCAAAACTAAAGCCAAGGAGAAGGAAGTCAGTAGCTAAAGTAGCTCAATTAAGAACCAGAAACTATCATAATAGAGCCTGGTGTCGAGATTTCTGATTCAGACATCATAAGAGCGAGAAGACATAATGGGGAGAATAACCCTGGAAATGATGTTGAAGATATACATGCATCTACCCAGGATTCACTCAAAATTGACCCAACTCAATTTGTATCACAGACATTTGAAGATTAACCACCAGAGAAAATACAGCCGGCTGCTCAGGAAGATATCCAGAATCTGGATCCTATTCATGATAGTCCTGACACTGTATTGATGGAGAAGATACCCAGGATCGGTACAACAGACAAGAAGATCATCAAGAGTAAGAGCATAGCCGAAATGGATGACATCAGGAAATTTCATTGTAAACCAACACTTAACAGAGAGACAACCCAAATCGAGGATAAAGGCAGAGTTTTTGATGAATACTTCCAATTCTAATTTTAAAGGACATGGAGATAAAATTGTGGATTGTATTTTAAAGTTTTTAGTTGATACGTAGGTCAAATATAAACATGGCTGTATACATTGACAAGTAATTTTACGATAGTTTGTGGAATTTGTGTACCTTTAGGACATAATTTTAGGTCACCTGAGTCACTCAGGTGACCTATTGCTCTCCGTTGGTTGTCGTCGTCCGTCATTGAACATTTTCAGCTTCTTCTCTGGAACGGCTCAGCCAAAATCAACCAAATTTGGCATATAACATTCATGGGTGAATGGGAACAAAAATAGTGAAAATTTTGGCCCCTGTCTCCTTGGGGCCTGAGGGAATGGGCGAAAACCACCAAAATTAATGCAATCTTAAAAATTCTTCTTCTTGACTCCTAGACATCTAGCAGTCAAACTGTTAACAAGATTGTAATCAACATTGAGTCCTTTACCAAAATTGTGAAAGGTATTCTAGTGCAAGGGCGGGGCTATATAGATTATTTAGTGAAAATGCATGATTTCTTTGAAAATCTTCTCTGCTACTGGGTATCAAATAAATTAACTAAGTACATAGTTATAATGAGCAAGGGTGCCTTTTCCAAAATTGTGAATTTTATGGCCCCAGAGTCAGGAGTTATGGTGTAAGGGCGAGGCTCTACTGATTATACATAGTGAAAATACATTAATTCTCTGCCCCTGGGTATTTAACTAAGTACATAGTTATGATGAGCAACAGTACCTCTTCCAAGTTTGTGAATCTCATAGCCCCTGGGTCAGGGGTTTTGCCATTTGGTGTAAGGGGATGGGCTCTTTGATTATATAGTATAAATATATCAATTCTTTAAAAAAAATCCCTTTGCTCCTGGGTATTATGCCAGTGATCTAAGTATATATATTTATGCAGGAGGTGCATCTAGCAAACTGGTTCATTTCATGCCCCTGGGTCAGGGGTATCGGGGGTTGGGGTGATTACATAGTCTGAAAATAAATTAATGCTCTGAAATCTGCTCTTTGGTATTAATCAACCATTTATGATGAATTAGAATTTATAAAAAATTTTTAAAGCTTGTGGCCCCCAGGTTCAGTGTTTCCTGTGGGGTGGGGTTCACAACTGGTTATAAAATGGAAGTGCATTTTTTCTTTGTTACTCTGATCTATCTCTGGGTATTGAGTAACTAGAGTAAGCATGCTAAGTGTATGATTATAATAAGCATTGGTGCCTCTTTCAAAATTGTGAATTTCATGGCATTCAGTTTAAAACACGAACCAAATTCAACTAGTGCGAATTGTAACGGGGACCGTTACAGATGTTCCCCAAACGCTCCCCAACTTCCTTTTGGTGCCATATTCCCTGTAATCTCTATTAAATAAGAAATACTTTATTGAATTTAGACTTAATCAATGTCTTCCCAGAAAAATACAAAATATAGTTAAAAATAGGCATTGCATGCGTGTTCATGTGCATAACGACCATATTATCTTGTCTACACCATCTAAAATTTTAATATACTTAATATCAAAGCATTTAATCCAAAAGTATTAAAAAATACACTCATTCGAGTGTATTTTTAATTTTAGCCATTTCACGTGCACGCACGTGCATAATGACTACACCTTCTTGTAGGAGTCCCTTATATTTATGTATGTTCTAAATCAAATCCTGTTTGGTTGAAAAACAAGGGAGTTATAACCATTTGAAGTTTCAGCCAGATTGCAGCACACATGTATGCGCGTGATTTCATAAATTTTTATCTCTATCGGATTGAAGGATATCTATATGAATGACTATATTTTAAAATTCCAAACATTTCGTCAAAAAACCAAGGAAATATAGCCATATAAAGTTTCAGCCAATCAGATCGCAGCACACGTGCATGCGCGTGATTTTATGAATTTTTTTCTATATCGTATTTTAGGATATCCTAATGCATGACTATGCTTTAAATTTCATAGCATTTCGTCATAAAACAAAGGAGATATAGCCATTTAGAATTTCAGCCAATCAGATTGCAGCACGCGCGCATGCGCATGCTTTCATGAAATTTTTTTATATCATGCTTTAGATCTGTATAATGTAGGACTATGTTCAAAATTTCAAAAGATTATGACAAGAAACAAGAAAGATATTGAGACTTTAGTTTCAGCCAATCAGAGCGAAGCGCACGTGCATGCGCGTGAGATCTTGCTATTTTGACCATGTCATCTTGTCAATACTACTAATGTATCCTTACATTATGAGTTTCAAAAAACCAGAAGTCTCTGTCGAGACTGAAGCTCTACTGGTTTGAACTTATAGCAAAGGAAGAGAAAGTACTTAAGCAGCTGGGATTTGAAACTTTATCAACAGAATTAAATAGAATAATGATCGTTGATAAAGTCTCTTTATGTTCTTAGTGTAGTCTACTTGTGTGCCAAGTTATACTGAAATCAGACCAAAACTGTAGGAGGAGTAACAATTTTACAGACATTTCTATTTTTAGTAACCACGGCAACACCGTTCATCAAAATTAAAATTCAATACACAGAATTATGTATCTTAGAGTATTCTACTTGTGTGCCAAGTTATATTGAAATCAGACCAAAACTGTAGGAGGAGTGGCATTTTGAAACAATTTTACAGATATTTCTATTTTTAGTAACACGACAACACCATTCATTGAAATCAAAAACCGATACACAGAATTATGTATCTTAGTGTATTCTACTTGTGTGCCAAGTTATACTGAAATCGGACCAAAACTGTAGGAGGAGTAGCATTTTGAAAGAATTTCATAGAAATTTCTATTTTTAGTAACCACGGCAACACCCTTCATGGAAATCAAAAACCGATGCACAGAATTATGTATCTTAGTGTAGTCTACTTGTGTGCCAAGTTATACTGAAATCAGACCAAAACTGTAGGAGGAGTAGCATTTTGAAAGAATTTCACAGAAATTTCTATTTTTAGTAACCACGGCAACACCGTTCATCGAAATCAAAAACCGATAAACAGAATTATGTAACTTAGTGTGTTCTACTTGTGTGCCAAGTAATACTGAAATCAGACCAAAACTGTAGGAGGAGTATTATTTTGAAAGAATTTCACAGAAATTTCTGTTTTTAGTAACCACGGCAACACCGTTCATTGAAATCAAAAACCGATACACAGAATTATGTAACTTAGTGTATTCTACTTGTTTGCCAACTTATACTGAAATCAGATCAAAACTGTAGGAGGAGTAGCATTTTGAAAGAATTTCACAGAAATTTCTATTTT